GGGAAAGAATCTTTTTCAAGATAAATATATTGACTTATTACATCGCAGTCGAGATAAAACTCTCTGCAGTAAAGTAAATGCAAACCTAACACTAATTTAATATAGAATATAATCTTTATTACTTATTTCCCCCACATTATTTAAGCCCATTTTTCTTACAGGTAGATGCTTGTGAACAGGGAGTTGGCACAGACATCTGGGAAGGGATTCTTCCATCCGGTCGCCTAATCTCAGCTAAGATAACGCCGTACCAATGAACCTACTCTACAATGAAGAGGCTCTAGCTCTGGTCTTAGTGTTGAAATCCTTCAACGTGCATTTGTTATCCTCTCTGCATGAGGTTGAGGTATCCAGCAACCATAATCTGCTGACTTACCCGAGCTCAATGCAGAATAAAAAAAAAACTAGTTTTATGCAATGGGCAGCAAGACTTCAGCTCAATTACTGGGAGCGCTTGAGGTTCCTAAACCTGTATTCCCTGGAACGCAGGAGGGAGAGAGTTAGTTAGTTTAATATGTTTATTATGCACCCCATACCCATCCTGTGGGCGGTAGTCAAAAGATTACAGAGGTACATAATTGGTCCAGGGACTGGACTCCAAAGTTTTGATAGCTGAGCAAGTTAAAGAGGTAATGAACTCACAATTTACAAAGGTAATGAACTCACAATTTACAAAGGTAATGAACTCACAATTTACAAAGGTAATGAACTCCAGGTAAGTCTGGTCACAATCATGACAAGTTACAAAGGTATTTACAGATTACAGAGGTACGTAATGGGTCCAGGGACTGGGCCCCCAAAGTTGTGATGGCTGAACTAGGTACAAAGGTAATGAACTCACAAGTTACAAAGGTAATGAATTCTGTAGAATGGTTACTTAGGTTTATACATGGCTACAATCATGAACAAATTATAGATTAATGAGCAATTCACACTTCCACACCCGGTCACAACTGTAGTGAGTTATTGGTGCAAATATTGATTGTTGAGTCACACACACACACACACACACACACACACACACACACACTTTAGTTTAATATCTTTATGCACCCCATACCCATCCTGTGGGCGGTAGTCAAAAGATTACAAAGGTACATAATGGGTCCAGTGACTGGACCCCAAAGTTATGATAGCTGAACTAGGTACAAAGGTAATGAACTCCAGGTAGATCTGGTCACAATCATGGCAAGTTACAGAGGTAATGAATCAGCTTCACTCCTATACATGGTTACAGTCATGAGCAAATTACAAAGTAATGAACCACTGATACGTCCACACCTGGTCACAATTGTAATGAGTTATAAATACAAATATTAAGTGGTTCATACACCCACACTAGCGCGCGCGCACGCACATACACACACCAGGGCGCACGCACGGACATGTGCACACGAGCGTACAAATATATGCATACACACAAGGACGCACACCCACACACACACCCACACACACACACACCAACACCCACACACACACACCCTCACACACACCCACACACACACCCTCACACACACCCACACACACACACCCACACACGTGCAGCATACGGGCGCCTGGCAAACCTGAGAATAGCGTTCCGATACCTTAATAAGGAATCGTTCAAGACACTGTACACTGTGTATGTTAGGCCCATACTGGAGTATGCAGCACCAGTCTGGAACCCACACCTGGTCAAGCACGTCAAGAAGTTAGAGAAAGTACAAAGGTTTGCAACAAGGCTAGTCCCAGAGCTCTAGGGAATGTCGTACGAGGAAAGGTTAAGGGAAATCGGACTGACGACACTGGAGGACAGAAGGGTCAGGGGAGACATGATAACGACATACAAGATACTGCGGGGAATAGACAAGGTGGACAGAGATAGGATGTTCCAGAGAGGGGACACAGGGACAAGGGGTCACAACTGGAAGCTGAAGACTCAGACGAGTCACAGGGACGTTAGGAAGTATTTCTTTAGTCATAGAGTTGTCAGCAAGTGGAATAGCCTAGCAAGTGAAGTAGTGGAGGCAGGAACCATACATAGTTTTAAGAAGAGGTATGACAAAGCTCAGGAAGCAGAGAGAGAGAGGATCCAGTAGCGATCAGTGAAGAGGCGGGGCCAGGAACTGAGTCTCGACCCCTGCAACCACAATTAGGTGAGTACAATTAGGTGAGTACACGCACACCCACACACGCACACACACACCCACACATGCACACACACACCCACACACGCACACACACACACACACACACCCTCACACACACACCGCACACACACCCTCACACACACACCACACACACGCACGCACACACACACACACAGACACACACACACAGACACACACACACACACACCCGCACACACACCCTCACACACACCCACACACACGCACGCACACACACACACACACACACACACACACACACACACACACACACACACACACACACCCCACACACACACACACACACACACACACCCTCACACACACCCACACACACACACAACACACACACACACACACACACACATGCACATATGTGGTAATGCTTTATTTACAGCTAGCAAAGTCAGGGTATTTCTCCAGAATGGTCTGCAATATACCACTGTGGATAAAATACTTTGCCATTTCTTGAACATTTCTGAGTGACTTGTTTCTAAATTCATTAATTTGATCACACTCCAGTACATAATGACGCAATGTGTGACAATAGTCCATCTGGCAAAGTTTACATTTCGTTTGGTCTACATCTGATGGTGGTGATTTAACCTGCCAAAGATACTTGGAGGGAGAGATACATGATTATATACACCTGGAAAATCCTAGAGGGACTAGTACCGAACTTGCACACGAAAATCACGCACTACGAAAGCAAAAGACTTGGCAGACGATGCACCATCCCCCCAATGAAAAGCAGGGGTGTCACTAGCACGTTAAGAGACCATACAATAAGTGTCAGGGGCCCGAGACTGTTCAACTGCCTCCCAGCACACATAAGGGGGATTACCAACAGACCCCTGGCAGTCTTCAAGCTGGCACTGGACAAGCACCTAAAGTCAGTTCCTGATCAGCCGGGCTGTGGCTCGTACGTTGGTTTGCGTGCAGCCAGCAGCAACAGCCTGGTTGATCAGGCTCTGATCCACCAGGAGGCCTGGTCACAGACCGGGCCGCGGGGGCGTTGACCCCCGGAACTCTCTCCAGGTAAACTCCAGGTAAATATAACATCTCTAGAAAGACCAACGTGATGGCGGACTCATTCTCCGGGGCTTCTTTTAGTTAGAATATTATGGATGGGGGGTAGTATGTGTCGAGTACGTTACAATTTATTTGGCACATACCACGCTCCCAGAGCACAACAGCAGCTGGGAAAATTGTATCCCTCAAGTGGGTAGCATACCACCAATGGCACAAAATAAAGAAAACTAACAAAAGGGACTGTGGTTCCTCTCATACTGAGTCCCCATTGGGTGGGGAGTGTGATGTGTGCAGAGTATTTCGCAACTTATTCAACATTCATTACGCATCAAGTGGCATGCTCTTTCTACCAGCCAACTGGTAGTTAGTCTAAGGCCGGTTATTTAGGAGCCCCGTTGCTCTAGTCTAGTGGAATGTCCAGTCCAAATCAACCAGCTGGGCGAGTGCTTGTCCCCTAACCCAGTTGCTTACGCCGTCCCATCTGGGTGAGTAGCACATGTTAACTAAAGCTGGTTGTACCCACTCATACTCACTGGTTATTCTTCAGGTGCAAAACCTCCTGTAGTAAGTGGCTCATATTGTTACTGTTCTGCTGATTATACATTTCTACGAGCTACGGGACGAGATGTCCGGTAGCTCGATCGCTAGTGCACTCAGTTCACACACTGAGGTCCGGGGGATCGATCCCCCGGTGCGGCTGTCCCTGTTCGCCCTTCAGTAAAATGGGTACCTGGCTGTTAGTCGACTAGTGTGGGTCGCATCCTGGGACAAAATTGACCTAATTTGCCCGAAATACTCTGCATAACAAGCTGCGGAGGGAATATGAGTAAAAAAAACTAGCCTCTTGTGTTTGCCTTTAATTGCTGCGGTTGATCCTTGTCTTGAGACTTAAGGTACCGTCAGGTACAACTTGGGGTAACGTCAGGCAAAACAGACCTTTAATTGCGTACCTGTGTTCATAATAAATGTGAACTTTCCTTTGAACAAAATATATTCGTTGAAGCACACCGGAAGGGGAATTTTCCGGTTATTGAATGGAAGACAATAATCCTATTTTTTTTTTTTAATTTTTTTTTCTGTTAGAAATTTAATAAATTATCTTAAATCTGTAACGAATCTTTCTCAAGTTAGGTGCATCGAGCTTTGAAGTTTGATATCATGCGGAAGAGGCATTCTGAAAAATACTCCTCAATTTTGTATGTAAAATTGGCAAATTAGTACTTATATCAGAACCCCTGCCGATAACATGTGGAGTTCCCCAAGGTAGTATTCTGGGTCCCTTATTATTCTTATGTTATGTCAATGACATGCCTATCAGTGTCAAGTGCAAACTCCTACTGTATGCAGATGACAGTGCTCTGTTAGTGTCAGGTAAAGACCCACAAGATATTGCTGATGTTTTAACACTGGAACTGGAGTCCTGCAGCAAATGGTTAGTAGACAACAAACTATCATTACACCTCGGGAAAACTGAAGCCATTCTCTTTGGCACGAAACATAAACTGAGAAGGGTAAATAATTTTAATGTCCAGTGTAATGGGGAGCCCATCGCTTTGGTTTCATCAGTAAAATATCTGCGAATCCCCTTTGACCCATGCATGTCAGGAGAATTGATAGGGAACAGTGTAGTAAAGAAAGCGAATGCCAGACTGAAGTTCCTGTATAGACAAAGCACAGTGTCTACCTACTGAGGCTCGCAGGACCCTATGTCTAGCCCTTATACAATGCCATATGGATTACGCTTGCTCTTCATGGTACTCTGTCCTTGACAAAAAACTGAAAGATAGACTGCAAATCACCCAAACAAAATCGTAAGATTCATCCTGGGGCTGGGACCAAGAGAACATGTAGGCCAGGATGAATTACAGCAGTTGGATATGCTGAATGTTGAAGACAGAGTAAAACAACTGAAGCTAAATCATGTTTATAAAATTGCTCACAAACAGTGTCCAGAATATCTTGCTGTCAATTTTGTCAAGGTTGGGAACCAAAACAATCATAGTACTAGGGGGAGAGAGCACAACTTTGTAGTACCCACAGTCATTGGCCAGGCATCAAACACCTTTTATTGTACAGCAATAAAGGAATGGAACAGACTGCCCGCACATGTCAAAGCCAGTCATAGCATGAACCAGTTCAAGAAGTGCCAAAAGGTGTCTGATGAATGTAGCTACAGAAAGGGAGGGGAATAATTTTCTATTTTTTAGCTAACATACATGTAAATTTTACTTTATTCCTAGTAATGACCCTCGTATTGTAGATAGTCTTAATGACCCTCGTGTAGTAGATAGTCTTTTTAGTATGATAATAAGATGTTATCTTCATTGTAGAATAATAAGAAAATATTATAACCTTTATATTATAATAATAAGGTAAAAGGACCCCAATGGAAATAAGTCACTGTCTGACTTTTTTGGGTTATCCCAGGTTCTCTACACATATGCTGCTATGTATGATAATTCTATGTAACTGTATTTGTGTATACCTGAATAAACTTACTTACTTATATCCAATAATTTATGCCTGCCTTTAACGAGGACACGTTAGTAAAAAACAAAGTGAAGTTGACCAGAATCGACGTTCTTAAGGTGTTGCACTGACATTTTGAAGGAAAAAAAAAATAATCCGACAGCCACAATAGACATCCCCTTTCGGGGGATTCCTAATTTAAGGTGTTCTCTACCTTCTCTCACTCGTAATTTAAGGTGTTCTCTACCTTCTCTCACTCGTAATTTAAGGTGTTCTCTACCTTCTCTCACTCGTAATTTAAGGTGTTCTCTACCTTCTCTCACTCGTAATTTAAGGTGTTCTCTACCTTCTCTCACTCGTAATTTAAGGTGTTCTCTACCTTCTCTCACTCGTAATTTAAGGTGTTCTCTACCTTCTCTCACTCGTAATTTAAGGTGTTCTCTACCTTCTCTCACTCGTAATTTAAGGTGTTCTCTACCTTCTCTCACTCGTAATTTAAGTGATTCCTACCTTCTCTCACTCGTAATTTAAGGTGTTCTCTACCTTCTCTCACTCGTAATTTAAGGTGTTCTCTACCTTCTCTCACTCGTAATTTAAGGTGTTCTCTACCTCTCTCACTCGTAATTTAAGGTGTTCTCTACCTTCTCTCACTCGTAATTTAAGGTGTTCTCTACCTTCTCTCACTCGTAATTTAAGGTGTTCTCTACCTTCTCTCACTCGTAATTTAAGGTGTTCTCTACCTTCTCTCACTCGTAATTTAAGGTGTTCTCTACCTTCTCTCACTCGTATTTAAGGTGTTCTCTACCTTCTCTCACTCGTAATTTAAGGTGTTCTCTACCTTCTCTCACTCGTAATTTAAGGTGTTCTCTACCTTCTCTCACTCGTAATTTAAGGTGTTCTCTACCTTCTCTCACTCGTAATTTTAAGGTGTTCTCTACCTTCTCTCACTCGTAATTTAAGGTGTTTCTCTACCTTCTCTCACTCGTAATTTAAGGTGTTCTCTACCTTCTCTCACTCGTAATTTAAGGTGTTCTCTACCTTCTCTCACTCGTAATTTAAGGTGTTCTCTACCTTCTCTCACTCGTAGTCATTGGCAATGAGGAAGTCACATAAAATCAGGATTTTTTTTGCTAGATGTATGTTTGAAAAAAAAAAAAAACTCCAGTTGACAATTTTGACTATGAAACAATCAGCAAAAATTATTTATTATATACTAAAAGTTGTTGTATGTGATACCTAGTTCATACTACAATCACATCGCTAATTACCTTATTCAATCTAGTGTTAGTCAGATTAACTACAATAAGTAGAACAAGATAGTAAGGACACCTACGGTACATTCTTACACAGTCCAAAAATACAACTTTTAAGAAAGCTGATAAATCAATTCATTATTAAAGATATGCGAGAACATGAGGTAGTTTTGTTGTTTCATCAGTCAGAGAAAAGTATTATATAATTCTGTAATATCTGCGGGGTAAGGGTAGTCCTAGGAAAGTTTGGAGGGGGGGGGGTAAAGGAGGTTTTGTGGACTTCTAGCAAGCATGCGTGAGCGTGTTACATAGGAGTGAATGGAGACTAATCGTTCTGGGGGGCCTGACGAGCTGTTGGAGGGTAATATTTTGTGAAGGGATTCAGGGAAGCCAGTTAGCTGGACTTGAGTCCTGGAGTTGGGAAGTACAATGCCTGCACTTTAAAGGAGGTTGGGATATTGGCTGTTTGGAGTGACATCTAAACTGTCGTATCTGAGCGCCTCTGCAAAGACAGTGATTATGTATAATGGTGAAAGTGTTGAATGACTAAAGTTTTTCTTTCTTTGGGACACCCTGCCTCGGTGGAAAACTACCGACGTGTTAAAAAAAATAATCATTTACCCAGTGGGGTGTGATGAAGACATTTTTGTGTTCTCTAATTCATTTTGTGCTAACGCTTAAAGACTGAGTTATGGATAAACAGTTAATTAGCCACTAGGGCAGCAATAGCAATAAACAACGGAGAAAGAAGCTAAGACACGACAGAGGAACTAGGAGAGGAATAATGAGTGAAGCAAGAACAATCAGATGAGTTAAGAACAAGGCACTATCAGAGGAGCCATGAGCCATCAGAGGAACCAGGAGCTAGGAGCAAAGATCTGTCAGGGGAACCAAAATCTATTAAGGGAGCAAGGAAACGAGAGGAACAAGAACTATCGGATGAAGTAGTAGCAAGGAACCATTAGAGGAGCCAGGAGCTAGGGCCCATCAGAGCTAGGCAGCAGCTCTCTCCCCGCGCCAAGGAGTCCAGTCAGGTCGTGGGATCATGGGACTGTTGCACGGCACTGGTTGGTTACTGTAGGCAAGAATATATTATTAAGTTCGGAATAAACAAAGAATAGCAATGCACAATAAACAGATTATAATAAAGAATGCTTATAAAATTTTTGAATGTATATACTCCTTGCTATGAAATATATGGAAAAATTAGTTATCAAAATATTGTGCGCATCATTCTGTCACGCAAAATATGTTCTGGTCAGGATATTAACATGATGAGTGACCCTTCAACAAAGCTAGCTACACTTGACTTACAATCTGTTGTTGGTCTGTCTGAAAGCTAGTGGCTGGACGGCGTTAATATTAGAGTTGTCACACATGAGCCTGGCCCAAGAGGAGCGACGGATCTGCTGCAACTGAGCTATAAAACAAAGAGTAGTGTGGTCATTACTAGTTAACAAGGAGAGTAGCATTAATAAAACAAGATTAGCGTTGTCACTTCTAGTTAGCAAAGCGTGTAAAATTACTATTAAAATTAAGTGTGGTTAACATAAGTTAGCATCAGTAAGGTGAATCGATATACAAGAAATTTAAATTGTGATTCGGTCTACTGGCGCGACAACAGAGTAGTATTGTGTTTGTATACATTTAAGGAAACTCCGCTCTTTCTTTACCTTCTTTAAAGGAGCCTGGTTGTCCTGCGAGGTCGTAGAAGTATCGATCTGCCTTCTTAAGTCTGGCGAACTGGTCTCCTACGACACAGAGGAAAGTCCAGCCCAGGAGACTGCCAGGGACAGGCCTCTCGGAGAGTCCACCCACGAAGAAGTCAATATCATCAACGCTCTTGTAAACTCCGGCCAGTTTTTGAACGTTCTGTTTCGTGGTTGGTAACACGAGTTAAAGAATTAAATATGCAATAGTACTCATGTTAGGAATATGTATAGAATCTCTCTCAGCAATTAAAATACAAGCACACAATTTTAATGAAAGGAAAAGGGCAGCGATGATAAATAGGTTAAAATAAAGAAATTAGATTAACTGATTTTTAAAAATACACTAGTGCAAGACCTTGGGAGCTTAAGACAGATCAGAGGATGAATGATGCATGGATGAAGCAGCACTTACTTCAGGACTCATCTGGTCTGTGAGGTCGTTGAAGGTACGGGCGCGCGGTAGACCGCAGATCTCTCTGAAGCTGTTGTAGGTGGCGATGCCGTGGTCGCGGCCACGTTGAAGATTGATACTCATCAAGTCCAAGCCAAAGGTAAACCTGGGAGTCTGTTAGAAGCCAGAAATTGCAATTATAATCTTCTGGTGGCAGGTAGCAATGCACGATTTACATAAGTGTCATCAGTCAAAAGCAGTCTGCTTTATCAGATACCAACCATTAAATGCTGAAGCTAAACATAGAGAAACTGAAGCCATAGGAGAAAAGTATTAAACGAACTAAAGAAAATACAGAAATTTAAATATATAGAATATCAGTAAGATGCAAGAGAAGCGTTTAGACGACATATACTCACACTGATTTAACTAAGCACTAACCCTGATCAGTAAGTTACAATCCCCGAGTTATAGTGGCCTTATGTGTCATGCATATAGTGTTACAGAGCCAAGGTACCATGAACCCTCACCACCCTACACACACATGATCCTCTCTACTCTTCACCGTCAACACCTAGCTCCTGTATGACTGTCATGTAAGATCCTCACTTCACTACCATCACTTAGGTCCTGTATGACTCATATATGATCCTCACTATACAGTATCAACAACTGGCTCCTGTACGAAAGACACGCGTCCTATTATTTAATGGAAAATGTAACACTTTCTAAAATAGAACGAAGTACTCTTTATCAGCCCATGGAAAGAGACACTGATGTAGTTTCAGGTCAAATTTCCAGGTGTGCGCTCTAGAGTTAATACATAAAAAATGATCTGTATAGTTGCAAATTTGTAAGTAAATATCAAACTTTTCATAAAAAAGTGCAACTTTACCCACCTGGAACAGATGGTTCGTCAAGTCCTCCGTGACGAAGGCGTCAAACTGTTGCATAGCAAGTTGTGTGAAGCCTCGAATAATGTCGTCTAGACGATTTTGTAACTCGATGAGATGAGGAGAGTTGAAGTGGTCACGAAGCCTGATGTTGTCTACACCGCCATTTTGCGTAAACAGTCTACAAGATAAATTCATAAAACTCATTTTATAAAACATTTTGCTTGCCGTTTCCTATGGAAACCTTTCAAGAATTATTTTTCAGACTTGGATAACCACAGAAACAGTGAGGTAACGAGGTTAACAATTCTTACATCATGCATGCACTACCATGTAAATAGTTTTGAAATAACTGACACAGTAAATAAAATTTTACTGATCTTAAAATATTATCAATAGATCAATTTAGCTACCAGTGGATCTAGTACATGTGATAGTTATGAATGAAAAGAAGTTGAATATCTTAGCACTAAATGAAACGAAGGTAAAACGTGTATACCTGGAGGGTGTTCCGGGGTCAACGCCCCCGCGGTCAGGGTGAATTTCTTGGGAAGGAGTAAATGGGATTGAGTGAGGTGTATCAGAGAGAATCGCAGCTAAGGAAGGTACAGCTGTATTACTAAGTATTTAACTCAAGAATTATGTGGATTATATTAAAATTGGACGCGAGAAGCGTCTGGGGCGAAATGTTCAGTGGACATTAGGAAGTTTCGAGAAAGGAAAGAGAATTATTGTTGTGGAGAAGATAGTGCTGAAGTGTGTGAGAGTGTGGTAAACGGTATAGTAAGTTTGGAGTGTCCAGGGTAAATCAAAATAAGTAATAGGTTGGTAATAGGTTATTCTTAGTTTGAGAACAAAAGATAAATAACTGTATGAGGTATGATACAGGATGCAATGACAGCAATATGTTAGGCTATGTATTAGTAGACAAAAGGTTAATGGGTAGACTTACGGATGTACATGATTTTAGAGGAGTGACATATATATGATATCATTATTAAATAGCATCTACAGTAAAAGTAAGAGACAGATGGAGTAAAGGAGAGTGGCAGCAGTGGGTAAAAGGAAGCGAAAATAAATGAATTGAGGAAGGAGACAGCTTGAGAAAGAAGCAACTATTGGGGAAATGGAGAGCTAGAGTAGGACATGAAGGGAAGATTGAGGAGGTATGGGGTAAATTAAGAGTGAATTGCCAGTGTACAGCAAAGTGTGCGAGTACCGACACACCAGTGAGCCCCAGGCAAGTGCTTTACGGCTATTTCCTTCTCCAGTGTTCTGGCCACATGATCGATACTATTTCAGTGCATCATGCAAGAACAAGCAGAGGTACATGCAGAGAAAGCGCGGTCAGTAGGATACGAACCCATTTTTGGAGCCGCTAAGAAAAAGCATGGCTTGTACTCAGGCTATCTAGCGGTTTGAGGCATCTGTAGCTGAGTGGTCTAAGGCATCATGTAGGGAGCTAAGCCATACTAGTGGATAACCTCTCGAGTCCTGCTGACCGCGAACTTTTATTTCTGCATGGTGCAACCGCCCAGGGAGGTACTACCATCCTGCCAAGCGAGTGTAAAACGAAAGCCTGTAATTGTTTTACATGGTAGGATTGCTGGTGTCTTTTGTCTGTCTCATAAACATGCAAGATTTCAGGTGTCTTGCTACTTCTACTTACACTTAGGTCACACTACACATTCATGTACAAGCATATATATATACACACCCCTCTGGGTTTTCTTCTATTTTCTTTCTAGTTCTTGTTCTTGTTTATTTCCTCTTATCTCCATGGGGAAGTGGAACAGAATTTTTCCTTCGTAAGCCATGCGTGTTGTAAGAGGCAACTAAAATGCAGGGAGCAAGGGGCTAGTAACCCCTTCTCCTGTATATATTACTAAATGTAAAAGGAGAAATTTTAATTTTCCTTTTGGGCCACCTTGCCTCGGTGGGATACGGCCGGTGTGTTGAAAAGAAAGAATATATATATATATATATATATATTATATATATCATATATATATATATATATATATATATATATATATATATGATATATATATATATGTCGTGCCGAATAGGCAGAACTTGCGATCTTGGCTTAAATACAACGCTCATCTTGCCATATAGGACAAGCGAAAAATTTGTGTATGCAATAATTTCGCCAAAATCATTCTGAACCTAACGAAAAAAATGTTTTTCACTGTGTTCGTTTAGTATAAAATTACTGTAAACAAATCTAAAACATATATAGTTTGGGGTTAGGCTAAAATAAATTGTTCTTGTTATAATAAGGTTTGGTAAGTTTTCTTAAGATTCTTTTGTGCAAAATTAAATTTTTTTACATTAACATTAATGAAAAAATTATATCTTTAAAGGTATAAGAAAAATTTTAGAAAGGACTTAATTTTAAATGAGTTCTTGCTAATTGACCATTTTACATATTCGGCACGACCATATATATAATATATATATATATATATATATATATAATTATATAAATATATATATATTATATATATATATATATATATAATAAATATATATATATAAATAATTTTAGTATATATATATTTATGTATTAATATATATATAATAAAATTTTATAATATATATAAATATATATATATATATATATATATAAATATATATATAATAAATTATATTATATATAATTATAAATTTATTATATATAATTATATATAAATTTAATATATAAATATATTATTTATATAAAATATAAATAAAATATATTATATATATATTAAATATTAAAAATATAAATAAAATATAAATATATATATATATATATAATAAATATATATAATAAATAAATTATATATATAATATATATAAAACATAATTATATTTATAACATAATAAATATATAATATATATAATATAAAAAATATAATATATATAATATCATATATATAAAAATTTAAAAAAAATATATAAAAAAATATATATATATATAATATATAAAATAAATAAAAATAATATAATATAAATATAAATATATATAATAATTTTAATATATATATAATAAATATAATATAATATAATATATATACTATATATATAAATATATAATATAAAATAAATTAATATATATATTTTATTATATAAATATAATAATATATATTAATATATATATATATTATATATATATTTTTAAAAATAAAATATATATATATATATATATAAATATATATATAATATTAATATAAAATAAAATATTTAATATATAAATATATTAATATAAAAATAATAAATTTTATTTTAATATATATATATATTATAATCTAAAATTTTATATAAAAATATATAAATTTTATATAAAATAATATAAATAATAATATATATTACATAATAAATATCATAAATATATTATTAATATAAAATAATATATATATATTAATCAATAAAAAATTTTATATATATATAATTAATAATTATATAATATAAATATAAAAAATTTAAAAACAATTAAATATATATTATATAAAAATAAATATAAATATATACATAAAAAAAAAAAAAAAAATATATAAAATTTTTAAATAAATTAAATAAAATTTTTCAAAATAAATAAAAATAACAAAATAATTAAAACAAAAAAAATTTTATTTTAAAAAATATATAAATATTAAAAATATATATAAAAAAAAAAAAATATATAAATAAAATAAAATTTTATAAAAAAAAAAAAATAAATAAAAAAATTATAAAATTTAATAATATATATATATAAAATAAAAAAAAATATATATATATAATATTTTATTTTTGCAAAAAATCACGTAAACGGGGTTTTTTCAAAAATGCAAAAAAACCCACCTGAAAGAAAAAGGAAATTCCCAAACGCTTTCGTATACTACATTATCAAGGAACTATGAAATGAAGCACCAAAGGAAGCAAAAAAGGGGGTGGGGCCGCACCTACTATCAGATCCCACAAGGGTTTTTAAACACGTGACGCGGGCGGCCAACGGGGAAGGGTCCTTTGCAAAACTCACCCCCAACTATTTATTTGTCCATGTATTTTTAAATTCTCCCCAAAATTCTATAATTATAAATGGATCAATTTATAAAACCCAAAGGAAATATTCTATTTTGTAAAACTGCTTTTTATGAAACAAGATTCATTATATCCTTCCCGGACTTGCTTGAAACACTTTTAAACTTTTTAAAAATCAATTGGATTTTTAAAAAATCTTTTACATAAATAAATAGAGCATTGGAATCTTGTCCAGTTCTAATGCTATTTTTATGTTGTTTTAACTTATTCGAGATTTTTCCCAGTTTGCCCGTAAAAATTTTTTACGAAAATTTTTACAAGGATCTAAGACACATCCATCAGCTTTTTGGGGGGGAATTTTCTTTCAAAAGTTTTTTTACTTATCAAGATTTTTTGAATAAAAATTTATATTAAAATCTTAAAGAAGAAAGGCATATAACCAAGTTTTCAGGAAAGGAAGAACCAACAATTTTTAGTGAATAAGGCTGGTTCCCTTTTTGGATTATAAAAAGTTTTCCCTAGAATTTTTAAAAAAGTTTTTATCAATTAATTTTTTGGGTATTTTAAATCATTACCATTTCATAAATTTTGGATTTTTCCTCATCTATAACCCAGGACTACAAATTCGTAAAACTCTCAAAAAAATTGATGAGAAAAAAAGACAGTTTTTACTCTATCTTAGCGAGGAATAATATGGAATAGGAACAGTTTTTTTGTGGTTTTCTTAATTTTTAAATTTAATTATTATTACCCTTAATAATTAAAACATCTAGAAAAGGCAATGAGTTTATTTTTTTTCAAAAATCAACATTTAAATTTAGAATGGGCTAAGCTATTTAATTTTCCAAGGAATGGGTAATCTACATTTTTGGGCATAAGACACAAAATACATCAACATATCTGAACCATTTAGCTCTATTGGGGGGATTGGTTTGCAACCTTGTTTCAAAAAATTCCCCGTAAAGGTTACTAAGAACAGGGGAAAGAGGATTTCCCATTTTTTATACCAAACTTTGATGTAAAACTTACATTAAATACAAATTTTTTCATCAACATCAAGTTTAATAAGTTTAATGAAGTAGGGAAATGGGAATGGTAAATCAAGTTAACGATTCTTCAGATAAAAAAACTTAATAATGATTTTCAGAAAATTACGCATACTATTTTCGCTGCCTTATTCGGAAAAGATCGTTGTTATTTAAGCCCCAAAAACGCAAGTTTACCTATTCGGTACGAATATATATATATATATTAAAAATATAAATATAATATATATATATATTATAATATATTTAATAATATATATATTTTTTTTTTTTTTTTTTTCAACAAATTGGCCGTCTCCCACTGAGGGGGGGGACCCAAAAAAAAAAAAAAATCCCCCCAAAAAAAAAATGCTTTATCATTCAACACTTCACCCCAAATCACACATAATCCGTTTTTTCAGAGGTGCCAAATACAACATTTAGAAGCATATACGTAACAATACACAACAATCCCCCCAAACGCCCAAATTCCCAACCCCTCCTCCAAAGGCAGCATTGTACTTCCCATTTCCCGGGGCTCAATCCCCCTATATGAAAAAAACCGGGTTTTCCCCGATTAATATATATTAAATTTATATAAAATAAAAAATATTAATATAATATTAAAATAATATATATATAATAAACAGGAGGGCCCATTATACGGGAGTTAGGTTCCAGGCTACCACCGTAAAGCGGAAATCGCCGTAAAGTGGAACACCCTTTTTTTTTCCACTTATAAATGCATACAAACACTAGATAACAAGTTTACACTAACATATATTAATTAGCAATAGAACCAGGCATCAAAAAACAATAAAAAGGTACAATACACACATAGTGCACTCATTACTTACCTTAAAATATTTATAGTCTTAATCTAGGTGAGACAAGTAGTATTATTGTAAGAAATCAAGTGTGGCATGTATTGTAATAGCCAGGCTACCTCACCAGGCCACCCCACCCACACATACTATTCTATGAATTTAAGCATCCCCAGAGCGATAAAATGTATATACAGTTCACTCATTACTTACCTTAAAATATTTGTAGTCTTAATGTAGGGTCAGGAGTAAGTAAATGAGATAAAACGAATAAATGAGAGAGAGAAAGAATGAGTACATGAGAGGTAACAGGCGCAGAGTTATGTAAACAAACCAGGCTCCCACATCTTATATTTATGTTATTTATTCTATTGTGGGTGTATTTATCATCATTTTTATGTTATGTATCGGTTTATTAATATAAATTTTGAAAAAAATATCATGGCTGGATTAATGAAAATGTGTATATTACCGCAATATACGACATTTAATGAGACTCGGTGAGTATTTTTTAATTATCACCACTTGTGCAAGTCGTCTGCTACCACATTTCACATTTAAAGTTTATTTATTCTACTGTGGGGTGTATTTATCTTACTTATATGTTATGCATCGTGTTTATTATATAATTTTGAAAAAAATATCATGGATGGATTAATGAAAAATGTGTAAAATTACCGCAATATACGACATTTAATGAGACTCGGTGATATTGTTATTATGCGTCACTTGTGGAAGTCGTCTGCTCACATCTCACATTATGTTTATTTATTCTACTGTGGGGTGTATTTATCTTATTTATATGTTATGCATCGTGTTTTTAATTATAATTTTGAAAAAAATATCATGGATGGATTAATGAAAATGTGTATATTACCGTATATACGACATTTAATGAACTCGGTGAGTAATGTTTATTATGGCGTCACTTGTGGAAGTCGTCTGCTCACATCTCACATTTATGTTTATTTATTCTACTGTGGGGTGTATTTATCTTATTTATATGTTATGCATCGTGTTTATTATATAATTTTGAAAAAAATATCATGGATGGATTAATGAAAATGTGTATATTAACGTAATATACGACATTTAAATGACTCGATGTATGTAAGTTTATTTAGGTACAGGTATACATAAGTATAATTATCAGAGTATATATAAAATATGAAATAACTTTTAAAAACATTTGAAATTTTGGAGTTTCCAGACAAAATGGAGAGACTTAGTGCTTACTGAGCTCATGGAGAATGTAAACAAACAGGGTGGGGCACGGTGACCGTATTAGAAAGTCAGGTGGGGGAGCCGTATAGTGAGTTTTTGGTCATAATTTGAAATGTCCGTATTAGCGGAACGCCGTAAAGTGAAACGCCGTAAAGCGGGGCCTTCCTGTATATATATATATATATATATATATATATATATATATATATATATATATATATATATATATATATATATATATATATTTCTAGGTAGTAGGTTGGTAGACAGCAACCGCACAGGGAGGTACTACCATCCTGCCAAGTGAGTGTAAAACGAAAGCCTGTAATTGTTTTGCATGATGGTAGGGTTGTTGGTGTCCTTTTTTCTGTCTCATAAACATGCAAGATTTCAGGTACGTCTTGCTACTTCTACTTACACTTAGGTCACACTACACATACATGTACAAGCACATATATACACACCCCTCTGGGTTTTCTTCTATTTTCTTTCTAGTTCTTATTCTTGTTTATTTCCTCTTATCTCGATGGGGAAGTGGAACGGAATTCTTCCTCCGTAAGCCATGCGTGTTGTAAGAGGCGACTAAAATGCCGGGAGCAAGGGGCTAGTAACCCCTTCTCCTGTATATATTACTAAATGTAAAAGGAGAAACTTTAGTTTTCCTTTTGGGTCACCCCGCCTCGGTGGGATACGGCCGGTTTGTTGAAAGAAGATATATATATATATATATTATATATATATATATATATATAATATATATATATATATATATATATATATATATATGTCGTGCCGAATAGGCAGAACTTGCGATCTTGGCTTAAATAGCAACGCTCATCTTGCCATATAGGACAAGTGAAAATTTGTGTATGCAATAATTTAGCCAAAATCATTCTGAACCTAACGAAAAAAATATATTTCACTGTGTTTGTTTAGTACTAAATTATTGTAAACAAATCTAAAATATATTTAGTTGGGTTAGGCTAAAATAAATTGCGCTTCTTATAATAAGGTTAGGTAAGTTTTCTAAGTTCCTTTTGGTGCAAAATTATAAATTTTTACATCAACATTAATGAAAAAAATATATCTTTAAACGTATAAGAGAAAATTTTAGAAAGGATTTAATTTTAAATGAGTTCTTGCTAATTGACCAGTTTTACATATTCGGCACGACATATATATATATATATATATATATATATATATATATATATATATATATATATATATATATATATATATATATATATAATATAATATATATATATATATATATATATTCAACAAGTTGGCCGTCTCCCACAGAGGCAGGGTGACCCAAAAAAGAAAGAAAATCCCCAAAAAGAAAATGCTTTCATCATTCAACACTTTCACCACACTCACACATAATCACTGTTTTTGCAGAGGTGCTCAGAATACAACAGTTTTAGAAGCATTATACGTATACAGATACACAACATATCCCTCCAAACTGCCAATATCCCAAAACCCCTCCTTTAAAGTGCAGGCATTGTACTTTCCCATTTCCAGACTCAAGTCCCGACTATATGAAAAATAACCGATTTCCCTGATATATATATATATATATAATTATATATATATATAATATAATATATATATATATATATATTATATATATATATTCTAGGTAGTAGGTTGGTAGACAGCAACCGCCCAGGGAGGTACTACCATCCTGCCAAGTGAGTGTAAAACGAAAGCCTGTAATTGTTTTGCATGATGGTAGATTGCTGTGTCCTTTTTTTTCTGTCTCATAACATGCAAGATTTCAGGTACATCTTGCTACTTCTACTTACACTTAGGTCACACTACACATACATGTACAAGCATATAATACACACCCCTCTGGTTTTCTTCTATTTTTTCTAGTTCTTGTTCTTGTTTATTTCCTCTTATCTCCATGGGGAAGTGGAACAGAATTCTTCCTCCGTAAGCCATGCGTGTTGTAAGATGCAACTAAAATGCCGGAGCAAGGGGCTAGTAACCCCTTCCCCGTATAAATTACTAAATTTAAAAAGAGAAACTTCGTTTTTCTTTTTGGGCCACCCTGCCTTGGTGGGATACGGCCGGTTGAAAAAAAAATAATATATATATATATATATATATATATATATATATATATATATATATATATATATATATATATATATATATACATTACTCACCGGAGAGTTCCTTGCACCAAGCTGTGTCCAAATCTGAAGGCTGCTGTGGAGAATTCATTGTTCATGTTGGGGTTGATGGTGGGGTTATAGTCTCTGCTGAAGCCTGATCTAAGTGTATTCAAACCGAAAGCTGTCATAAGATTCTTTCCTGAAAGTAAGACAAATATTGACTTGTATATGTTTACTCGCTGCTTTTCTACAGTGCACATCCAGATAATATTAGTCTGTAGCAAACCACTATACGTATGAAACAAAACCTGTCTTCACTTTCCCTCCATGTCTGTCTCTGTGTATCTCGAGATCTACTGATAGGTAGTTCCATGTTCTAAGAGCGTGCATGTAGGCACGGTACTTGAGCATGAAGAGACAATGGAGACATGGTCACAACGTGTAAGATACTCCAAAGCATCAAGAATTTGAAAGACCATAAGGAATTTGAAATGAATGGAACCAGAACATCTACACACAAAGGGAACACATGTTCCAAAAAAGAGCAAAGGATATTTAAGATGAAAGTTGTGACGTGTAGTATTTTTACTGAATGTGCCCTGATTTGTGCATACTGTTTACAAAATCCTGTATTTGGTTCAAGTTATATACCAATATGTATTACTGAGCTAGTCAAGCAGTTATTTTTCAATCTGTTTTAACGTATACTGTATACATTGACGTAACTTCTGTTTTCAATTATTTACAGTTTATCTAGTTCTAATAGTTTTTTCAATCCAGTATCGAGAATGAGTCTGGTAAATATAAGCTTCAGTTTCATATCTAGATACTAAGTTTATCTGAATACTTAATTTTAAATCATTAGTGAGCAACCATGAAATCAATATCCATAAGTACTGTAACCATTTAGTGTACATGTACTAGTATCAAAAGAGAAAGAATATTGTAAATGTTCAACATGGTTGCAATAACAACTAAGCTTCATTTCCCATTGTTGGAAATTATTTTACTGGAATTCTTGATAAAAAATCATGAAATACAAGAATTTACTATCACGATAAGCTAAGTATTGATGGACAGATTCAAAATGGCCGCAACAGCTTTTTTTCGGTGGCTTCGTATCTAAATTTGCCCATAATGACCATGGCTAATTATCCAAACTTTCCTGTTTTTATGAAAAAGCACACTATTTTGCCATTTTAATGGCTTTATCTCCTGCACTAAATGTCAAGTTTAAACACCACAGCCCTTGGAGCATGGAGAGTATCACATGTGGTCGAGTATCTCATTTCTTGAGTAGACCAACACTACTCACCTAAGACAATGGGGAGCCACTCGTTGAAAATGATGTGTTGCTCCTGCGCAGTGAGGATCCTGCGGGTCTCCTGGAAGACAGCTTCGTCCGACCACTTGGGGTTCAGTTTCTGAAGTTCTCCTGCTACACGGTTGTGTTGTCTCAACCACAGAATTTGAATGGAGGTCAAGCCAGGCTGCTGATTCACTCGCGAGTCACCTGTAATGATGCCCTCGTTTATTATACTCCATAGCAATAATGCAATGCAATGAACTACAGTAATCATAGCTGTGTTTGCCTGCAATCCACTATATTCATACATCAGTGTTACTTGTAACTCAGTCGACGACTAGTACAATCTCCCTCCCCCCCCCACACCCCGAAAAAATAGCATCTAGATCACTTGTTATAACTAGATTAAAACACAAGGTCAGATCATGACTCACGAAATCGTAATGACACGATTGCAAACAAACCATACCACGGGCGGGATTTGAACCCGCGGTCAGAGATCATGTCTTCCAGCCGCTTCTTTTACTTATTTCATCTGAAGAGATTAAAAGATATTAGTAAGGGAGTAATAGTTATTATAATACATTGATGTAGATGTACTGTTGCAACAGGAACATAAGAAAGGAGGATCACTGCAGCAGCCCTGTTGGCCCATACTAGGCAGGTCCTTTAGTGGCTAAATACGTTTGGGTTATTCAGAGCAAAAAAGTAATTGGAAGTTCGATCCTCTGATAACTGCCAGAGGAAACTATTGTTTGTGTTGAGCTTCAAGCCATGGAACTTTATAAAGCGCTGCATAGAGCCATGTGTAGAGATTTACAAAGTTTCGAAGCGTGGCTTTAGGAGTGACCCCAGCACTGACCCCCAGAAGAGTGACCCCAGCACTGACCCCCAGCAGAGAGTGACCCCAGCACTTACCCCCAGCAGAGTGACCCCAGCAGTGACCCCAGCACTGACCCCCAGCAGAAAGTGACCCCAGCACTGACCCCCAGCAGAAAGTGACCCCAGCACTGACCCCCAGCAGAAAGTGACCCCAGCACTGACCCCCAGCAGAAAGTGACCCCAGCAGTGACCCCAGCACTTACCCCCAGCACTGACCCCCAGCACTGACCCCAGCACTGACCCCAGCAGAGTGACCCCAGCACTGACCCCCAGCAGAGTGACCCCAACACTGACCCTCAGAAGAGAGTGACCCCAGCAGAGTGACCCCAGCACTGACCCCCAGCAGAGTGACCCCAACACTGACCCTCAGAAGAGAGTGACCCCAGCAGTGATACAACAATGATGCAATTTTACTGTTAAAATATCAGTGATGCAATGAAACTCGGAAATAACAGAGGTGCAGTAATACTCATGAAATACTAGCGCTATAAGCACATAAAATAATCATAATCATAATAAAAACAATGATAATAATAATAATTAGAATAATAACGAAATTCTGGATACAGTATTGACATGAAATTCTACGCCATTGTTGAAAAAATATTATGTTATATGAAGCCATATTATATGTTATGTTATTCATACATTATTACTACCACAGAATATTGAATATCATTTTATTACAGTAGGACTACGTTATTTTGAAAATACAGTATATAACAATGTAAAAATCTTCTCAAATGGTTGACAGACTGAGGATATTTAAAATATGATTACAGGAACTTTTCCTCTGATTCCACATTTCAGATTTAAGACTAAATTCCTCATTCTCAACAAGATAAGCAAGTTGATAAGCAAGACACAAGTGCAACAGTTATGTAACTTTATTAAGAAACGTTTCGCCTAACTGTTGTTCTGGATTCGCCGGTATAATCGCCCGGCCCGGGTCTTTTCCAAGAGGTGGCCCGGCCTTGGCTCCCTTTCGCGGGAGTATCTCAGACCAATGACTGCCATGGGAGGTCGCCTAACTGTTGAACACCTGTCTTATCAACTTGTCGTTATTGTATACCATTATCATATTCATTTTACGATGAATAAGTGACGCACCTGCGGAGAGACACAGAGCTCCACGTTCCCGAGCCTCGCAGTTTCCTCCCTGGTTGCTATTAACGGGCAAAATGTTGTTACCAGAGGTCCTCAAGAGACCGTTCTTGAATGTTCTTAAGTTCCGCATTTGTTCGGCAGTGGAGCCGTATATTGCAGAACCGTCTATCCAGTGTGTAATCTGGGTCAGCTGTGACAAATTCAAACCTAGGATTAGTGTAAACATTTGGTGCATATTTTGACCAATATGTGACTTTCGTTATTTTAGATTTTTTTTTGGGGGGGTTATGCAATGTTAAATCAACATTTACCATCAATGTATGCCTAAAACTGTTTTTTGCAATTATTGTACAACTGTTCATTACCTTTGTAAATTGTGAGTTCATTACCTTTGTAAATTGTGAGTTCATTACCTCTGTAACTTGCTCAGCTATCAAAACTTTGGAGTCCAGTCCCTGGACCAATTATGTACCTCTGTAATCTTTTGACTACCGCCCACAGGATGGGTATGGGGTGCATAATAAACATATTAAACTAAAACTGTATATCAGTCTAAAACATCACGTGCAGAAAACCTGGTAAGCTTAGCCTACTTGCTTAATTAAAAGTGAAAAGCTGAAGTAAGAGGCTAAAATCAACATTTAATTTCATTTTTCACTCCATGGAGACAATATGACAAAAAGTTATATGAACAAATATATGTGACATCTCAACATAGATTTCATCAATATTACATTGGCCAACAAAGATTTCAGTTCACGTTTAAAAATATATCTAGACTATTTTGGGATCCTGAATCCAAATCCAAACTTAAGTTTTGCTGCAAGAAGTACAGTTTCTATGGAGCAGAATCCCGCGGTGAACGATTTCACCAAGACAAACATCATGGTGAAGATTTATCAGGGAAACCTGACGTTTACCTGGAGAGAGTTCCGGGGGTTAACGCCCCCGCAGTCCGGTCTGTGACCAGGCCTCATGGTGGATCAGAGCCTGATCAACCAGGCTGTTACTGCTGGCTGCACGCAATCCAACGTACGTGCCACAGCCCGGCTGGTCAGGTACCGACTTTAGGTGCTTGTCCAGCATAATGGTCGACTACTGCTGAGCACTGGTGTGGGAGAGCCATACTGAACACTGGTGTGGGAGAGCCATACTGAGCACTGGTGTGGGAGCCATACTGAACACTGGTGTGGGAGCCATACTGAGCACTGGTGTGGGAGCCATACTGAGCACTGGTGTGGGAGAGCCATACTGAACACTGGTGTGGGAGCCATACTGAGCACTGGTGTGGGAGAGCCATACTGAACACTGGTGTGGGAGCCATACTGAGCACTGGTGTGGGAGAGCCATACTGAACACTGGTGTGGGAGAGCCATACTGAGCACTGGTGTGGGAGAGCCATACTGAACACTGGTGTGGGAGCCATACTGAGCACTGGTGTGGGAGAGCCATACTGAACACCGGTGTGGGAGAGCCATACTGAACACTGGTGTGGGAGCCATACTGAGCACTGGTGTGGGAGCCATACTGAGCACTGGTGTGGGAGAGCCATACTGAACACCGGTGTGGGAGCCATACTGAGCACTGGTGTGGGGGAGCCATACTGAACACTGGTGTGGGAGAGCCATACTGAACACTGGTGTGGGAGCCATACTGAGCACTGGTGTGGGAGAGCCATACTCAACACTGGTGTGGGAGAGTCATACTCAACACTGGTGTGGGAGAGCCATACTCAACACTGGTGTGGGAGAGCCATACTCAACACTGGTGTGGGAGAGTCATACTCAACACTGGTGTGGGAGAGTCATACTCAACACTGGTGTGGGAGAGCCATACTCAACACTGGTGTGGGAGAGTCATACTCAACACTGGTGTGGGAGAGCCATACTCAACACTGGTGTGGGAGAGTCATACTCAACACTGGTGTGGGAGAGCCATACTCAACACTGGTGTGGGAGAGTCATACTCAATACTGGTGTGGGAGAGCCATACTCAACACTGGTGTGGGAGAGTCATACTCAACACTGGTGTGGGAGAGTCATACTCAACACTGGTGTGGGAGAGTCATACTCAACACTGGTGTGGGAGAGCCATACTCAACACTGGTGTGGGAGAGTCATACTCAACACTGGTGTGGGAGAGTCATACTCAACACTGGTGTGGGAGAGTCATACTCAACACTGGTGTGGGAGAGTCATACTCAACACTGGTGTGGGAGAGTCATACTCAACACTGGTGTGGGAGAGTCATACTCAACACTGGTGTGGGAGAGCCATACTCAACACTGGTGTGGGAGAGTCATACTCAACACTGGTGTGGGAGAGTCATACTCAACACTGGTGTGGGAGAGTCATACTCAACACTGGTGTGGGAGAGTCATACTCAACACTGGTGTGGGAGAGTCATACTCAACACTGGTGTGGGAGAGTCATACTCAACACTGGTGTGGGAGAGTCATACTCAACACTGGTGTGGGAGAGTCATACTCAACACTGGTGTGGGAGAGTCATACTCAACACTGGTGTGGGAGAGTCATACTCAACACTGGTGTGGGAGAGTCATACTCAACACTGGTGTGGGAGAGTCATACTCAACACAAGCGAAAAACCTTGAAACTTGTGACGTTAATATGCTTGTATGATTACGGAAATTTAGGTTACTTTTGTTATACAAGATAAAACTGCGTTACTCAGTATTAGTTTAGGTCATTGTATACATCACACGATTGTTCAGTAACATTTATCATGTAGCTCTGCAAATTTAAATAGCCAAAATATTGATAAGATTTAAAAAAAAAAATACGTGATAGAGACAAACTCAGATTCATATAATTTCATACAACTGTGCTGTGAAAATACTGGCTGATTTCCTCTGCATTCTCTGATATTCCATTGTAATATTGCCAATATTAATGACCAGTAATACAGCGGCTTCAGAAAGCAAGGGGGTCGCTCTGGGCTAGTGTGACTTGTATAGACGATGTTTGGTCCCAGAGTAAACTTGTAATAAGGGACTGTAGGCATCTGCAGAAGGAAGATGTACCTCAGAAGTGGCTGTTGGAGGTGGCGGAGAGTGTGAATGAGAAAATTAAGAAAGAGTGGCTAACCTCCACTGCAGGCTTCGTCTTAAAAAAAAAAAAAAGCCAATATGGCCTCCATTGTTTTGGTAATTAAGGAAATGGCAGGTAATGTGGCGCAAGAGGTAGGAAAAGTAAGTGGAGCAGAGAATGAAGACTCACTGGCAGCTACCGAGAAAGAGATGGAGATTAGTTGTTTCCTAAGATAAAAGAATGTGTGGCGACAGACGGGGTAGTGGTAGCATGTACTGTTGGATGTATTTCTACAGTTGTCACAGATGCATGAGGAGTTAATGAGCTAGTCACACTAGCAGTAAAAGTTAAACATGAAGGAACAATAGATTGCTAGGGAATTTTGAAATTTATTGGAGGTTTTGTGGCTAGGTTAATTACGGGCTGATTGCAAAAGAAGACTCGAAAGGTGCTGTGGGTGTCGGGTGCTCTAGAGGAGAGACTTGGTATCCTCCCTTGGAGACAGAGCAGAATCACTGTTATAGTGTATGAGAGAGCGTGATTTGCTTTCTCGTAAGAAAACTGGACAATGGCATGAATATATAGAATATGCTTCTTCGCAGTTAAAGTGCTAGGAGGATGGTGGTGCTATTAAGATCAACTGCACAGTAGACTGGGAATTCTGCTGGTTATCTGCACTGTTTGGCCTGGTAGCCAAAACACCATCCTGGAACTCCCGTACTTGTAAGCGCTGTCCCATTACGTAAACCAAGTATATGAGGTCTGTAATCGAAGATCAGTTTAGCTCGAATCGTGTTTCCCACCTGAGGTAGGGTTGACACTAGTTCTACTTTGATAGGAGATTTTCGAACTCAAGTTGTTCGTGAATGTCCAGGTCAAATTGTTTAAATTCTTGCTGTATTATGATAAAGGAATGTGACTTGGATGTTGTCGATAGAGTGGATACGAGAAACGTTGTCGGCCTTCATTATGGACTGTGGAAATACACAGCCCTCTTGAGGAAATGGAAGGATACGTACTTGGTCAATATATCTCACGAGTTCTTTGCACATCCCATGGTGTGTAAGGTCTTAGTGATTGGAAGGATGAGAATTTCAACCAAGGAAGCCTAAGCCCACCCAGTACGACCATAACAGCGAAGAGCATAATCTACCCTTCCCTTCAACCACCGCCGGACGTGAAGAACCGGCCGTCAGGGATGTGTTCATGACTATTAAGTAGGCTACAAGTTCCTCCACAATAACAGAAATATGATAATTGCTTTAAGAGAGATTCCATTCAAAAGAGGTGCCTTCATGATGGAGAAAGTCTCTTGATCCATGAAATTTGAATTACTCTCTCCTTCCTTGGATTAAACCTGATTTCCTTCAATTCTCAAGACACTGAATGACCTCTTCTGGAGAACTGCTTCCCCGTGATTATATCTGCAAGTCAATTTTTGCCTCTTGGTTTGGTATATATATCTAATCCAATTAGTTACATACAGTATAATCTGTTATATATTTTTTTCTGCTAATAGATTGTAAGTAATCCACACGTGACTGAGGTATGTGTATCGAAGGAACAGATGTATAGACGGCGCATGGGTAACACTACGAAATTCGACATACAGATCATCGTCGATTACGTCTGTTAAGTTTGCAGTTGTAACATCACAAAAAAATTCCAGAGATGATACAGGATATTGTACTGATAATCAATGCTATCAGTGACACTACCAACCTGCTCGGCATAGCCAAAAACACATTCTGATCCAGCTCCCACGGCGACCATACTCCTGACGAAGTTCATGCAGGTTCTTCCTAGACGCCCAAAGAAGGCGTCACCAGTAAGATCAATGGGCATACATCTGGGATGACGCATGGCCGCGGGTGCCAGTGTTCCATTAGGGCAGCACTGAATTCCTTCTCCATTTTCTGAGGGGTGCATAACTTTATAATCAGTCTCAATATAAACACATTAAATATTTACTTTTATATACAAATATTGCAATATAAATGTTGACATTTAATACAACACACAGACATACATATTGTAAGCCTAACTTTGTTGAGTTTGGGAGTCTCTCACACTTAAGCATTATAGACAAGAACGACTGTAAATTGGTAATTCATCTTACCCATAGTAGGGAAAGGAATATGGGTAATCTCGTGGTCAATGAACTGTCCCCACACCATGAAGGACGAGGTATAAAACTCATCTGGCCGGTTTACGTCTGGTAACACGTTACTGCTAATGCGACGTACACCGGGGAGAGGAGAGCCATCAGTTGCTCTGGATCGTGGCTCAAACACACCTGTCGAGAAGCACCTTCACAGTTCACTGACTTAAGGGTTTGTAGTTATACTAAACAAAATATTATCAGCAACAAACTTAAATGTCTGGAGAAGGCCTCCATCAATTACCCAAAAGCTCCGCATGACTGTAATTTTCATATATCTTTTGGCAAAAATGATATCGGAAACTAAAATAAATATTATCCCAAACAAATATAAGTTTATTTCTCTGCAAATACAAAAATGTCGTAGCTTATAATGTTGTTTAAACTTTAAGGGGTAGACAGGTAATCCAGTAGAAATACCAGGTAGTTCCCAGAAGATGCAAAGAGCCAGATACCGCGCAGCTACTACCCGTGTCCGGAGAATATTTTCCCCATTGATCCTGACAAACGACCCTTCAAGAGGGGATGCCTTGCTGCTGGGAAATAGCTCTTGGTCCAAGGAAATGGTGCTGTGCTCGCCTTCGTTGGGTAAAATTTGATTGTCTCTCATTCCTTAGGCACAATATGATAACCAACAGATTTAGGGTCCTCCTAAGCTAAGTCTAAAAAAAAAAATTTTTTTTAAAATTTTTACAACTCAAATATTAAATTTAATTATAATATAATTTAAAATTGGTTAAATTTTTTTTATAATTTAAATTTTAAATATATTTAGGGTTTATTACTAATTGGGGAAAATTTTTGTTTCCCCCCCGGCACCCACCCCCTTGTTTCCGTGTTAAATAAAATAAAAAATTAAAAAATTAATTATAAAACAAAAATTTATTTAAATTAAATATAAAAATTTATATATATATAAATATATTATATAAAATATTAAATTTAAATTTTATTTTAAATAAATATTTTAAAAAATTTTTAAAATATGAAAGAAAACTTTGTTTTTTTTTGGGTGGGGGGAAAGGGGGTGTGTAATGAAAGAAATTTTTTTTATTTTTTTTTTTTTTAAATTTAAATTTTTAAAAAATTTTAATTAATTTATATATATATAATATATTATTTTAATATTTTTATTTTTATATATATTTTAATTTTATTAATTAAAAATATATTTTATTTTAAAATTTAATATATAAATATTTTTTTATTTTTTTTTTTTATATCCAATTTTGGAATATATAAAAATATAATAATTTTAATTATATAATTAAAAATTTATATAAAATAATAAAATATTATATTTATATAAAAAAATTTTTATATATATAAATAAATATATATATTAAATATTTTTATATTTTTTTTATTTTTTTTTATAAATATAATTATTATATATTTTTATATAATATAAATAAAATTTTTTAAATATTTATATTAATATATTTTTATATATATATATATATTTTTATATATATATATATATTTATATATAAAATATAAATAATATATTATAATATTTTTTTATATATTATAAAAATATTATATATATATATATTATATATAAAATATATATTATATTTTAATATATATTTTATATATATATTTATATAAAATTTTATATAAATATATTTTTTAATATAAATATTATATTATATATATAAAAATATATATATATATTTATATTTTTTTATATTATTATATTTTTATATATTTTTAAATATAATTTTTATTTTTATATATAATATTAATATATTTTATATATATTATATATATATATTTTTATATATAATAAAAAAAATTATATATTATATTTATATATATATATATTTTATAATATATTTTATATATTTTAATTTTAAAAAATATATATTTTTATAATTATAAATTTATATATAATATTAAAATATATAATATATATATAATATATATTAAAATTTTATATATATAATATATAAAAATATAAATAAAAAATATATATATAAATTTTAAATATATAATAAATTTATATAAAATATAAATAAATAAATTATATATATATATTATATATATATTTTTTAAAAATATATATATATATAATCAAAATTATATTATATATAATATAAATAAATTATAAAAATATTTATATTTTTATAAATATTATAAAATATATATAATTAAAATAAAAACCATTATATATATATATATATATAAATAAATATAAATAAATATAATATATTTATATAATATAAATATATATTAAAAATATATATATATTTATAATAAATATTTAAGTTAAATTAAATAAATATTAATTATATATATATAAAATTTATATAAATTTTTTTATTTTTATTTCAACGGGGGTTCCCACCAGGCAGGGGGGCCCGAAAAAGAAAAATTTCACCATCATTCACTCCTCCTGTCTTCCGAAGGTGCTTTACACACATTTTAAACTGCAACTTTAACCCCCCCCTTTGAGGCGGGCACTGTTTTTCCCCCATCCCCCGGATCAAGTGGGCCCCCCGTTTCCCTGAACCCTTCTAAATGTACTTTCTCACACTCCAAAGCACGTAAGTATTAAAAACCATTTGTTCCATTCACCCCTATCAAACACGCTCACGCGCTGCGAAGTAAAAGCCCCTCTAAAAAAACCTCCTTTCCCCCTCCCTCAAAATTTTTCCTAGGCCGCCCCCTACCCCCCTTCCCTTCCCACTACAGATGTCCCCTCTTAAGTTATTTGTTTCGCTCCATTCTCCCCACTTTCCCGAACCCCCTCAAAAACCCTTCCCAGCCCCGGACAACATTTTTGGGAAAACCCCGCCCCCTCCTAACTTAAAAAACTACAATTCTCTGATTATATTCACACCACATTGTTTTAAGACATGACTCTCCACTGCCCCCAGCCTTTCCCGTGAACTTTTCATCCCCCCATGCTTCACCCCCCATAAAAGAGCGTTGGTAAAAATATATTTCCATACATTCCCCCTTCCCTCCAAACAAATTTTTTTCTCCACAGACCCCAAAGTCCCCACCACCCCTTTTCCCCCCTCATCAATTCTATGATTTACCTCTCTTTTAGCCCCATCCGCGACTGTCCCTCCCAAAATCTGAATACTTCACCTCCTCCATACTCCCCCCTCCAACTGTACCCAATCTTTCATCACCTAATTTTTTTTGTTATCCTCATGACCTTACCTTTCTGATTCACTTTCAATTTTTTCTTCTTTTGCACACCCTCCCAAAATTCATCCACAATCTCTGCAATTTCCCTTTTTTCGAATCTCCCAAAGCGTGTCATCAAAAAAAGCAACTGTGACAACTCCCACTTTATTTTTTCTTTATCTTTTAACTCCACCCCCTCTTGCCAAGACCCTCGCTTTTTACTTCTCTTAAACCCCATCTATAAAAAATTTTAAAACAACCACGGTGACATAAACCCCCTTGTCTAAGGCCACTTTTACGGGAAAAAATTTTCCCCTTTTTCCCCACATACCAACTTGACCCTCACTATCCTCGTAAAAACTTTCACTGCTTTCAGTAACCTACCTCCCACACCTCACTTGCACATTCCACATTGCCCCTATCCACCCTGTCATACCCTTTTCCAAATCCATAAATGCCACAAAGACCCCTTTTGCCTTTTCTAAAAACTGTTTTACTTATAAGTTTCACTGTAAACACCGGTCCACCTCCCCCACCTTTTTCCCAAAGCCCCCTTTTTCATTTCTATCCTATTCTCCGTCTTTCCTTAAATTTTTTCAATAATAAATTTTACCATACACTTTGCCAGGTATACTCAACAGACTTATCCCCCCCATAATTTTTTTCCTCTCTTTTATCCCCTTTGCCTTTATTTCAAAAGGGAAATATGCTGCCTCTGCCCAACCCCAGGGACCTTACCCTCTTCCCTACATTTTTTAAATAATTTCACCAAACCCCTCCCCCAAAAATATATCCCCCCCCTGCTTTTAACCCTTTTTATCTTTATCCCCTCAATCCCGCGCCTTCCCCCCCTTTTATTTTTCCTACTGCCTCCGAACTTCCCCCCCACTCACAACTGGGTCTTCCCATCCCACAAGAGTTGATCCTCCTTGCCCTATACACGAAATCACGCTTCCCTATCTTCATACATTTTCAATTCCCAAAATATTCCCCCCATCTTCCCAATACCTTAAATCTCCATTTAAAAACTCTCTCCCTATTTTAACTGACAATCCTTTTTTTCTGGCTTTTTTTTAAAATTGTTAATCTCACTCCAAAACTTTTTTTATTTTCAACAAATTTGTTGATAACTTCACCCCACCTCTCATTTGCTCCTGTTTACATTGCTTCACCACTCTCTTTTCTCCATATACTCTTTTCCCCCTTGCACCTTACTTTGTAAAAATTCTCAATGCAACTTTTTCCCTTACTACTTCTTCACATCATCATTCCACCAATCGCTCCTCTTCCCCCCCCGCACCCACTTTCCCGTAACCAAAACTTCTGCTGAACACTCTAACATACTTTTTTTAAAACCCACCCATACCTTTCCCCCTTGCCATGCTCTCATTAGCCATCTATCCTCCAATACTTTTTATATCTTACCCAACGCCTCCTCTTTTAGTTTATAAACCTTTACTCTCTCTTCCCCAGCTTCTATTCCCTTTTTCCCCTCTCCCCTTTTTCTTCCGTGTACTACAACTAGAAAGTGATCTGATAACTGTGGCCCCTTAAACATGTACATCCTGAATCTACTCAACATCTTTATTACCAATACAAAAACCAACAAACTATGTTTTTTCGCCCCACACATATCTTGTATACTTATTTATCCTCTTTTTCTTAATATTATTACTATAACTAAACCCCTTTCTATACAAAGTTTTAATCAAAGGGGTCCCTTTTATTACACATGGCACCCCAAACTTACCTACCCACCCTCTCTAAAAGTTTCTCCCTACTTTAGCATTCAGGTCCCCCAAACCCCAATTACTCTCCACTTGGTTTAAATTTTAATTATTTTAAATTAAAACCTTCTTCCTCTCTTCCTTTTTTCCCCTCTCCCCATTTCCCTTCTCCACCAACCCCTTTTTTAACCCCCTTTTTTGGGATTTTTTACCCTTTTTCATTTAACTTCTTTTCTTTTCTCCCTCCATAACTATCATTTTCCCCAAAATTTCTCCCCACCCCCCCCCTTTGCCTTTTTCCAGTACCCAATTTTCCCCTTTATTTCCCCCCCTAAAATCCCCCCCCCTTTCACTTTTTTTTCCTTGGCAGCACCAAATTTTTTTCAAATTTAACATCCAATAAATTTTTCTTGTCTCCCATAAATCACAAAGAAGTTTTAAACCCTTTTTTTTTTTTTTTTTAGCCCCTTGCTCCCGGCATTTTTGTCGCCCCATACGACACGCATGGCTACGGAGGAAAGATTCTCTTCCACATCCCCATGGACAATAGAAGAAAAAAAAGAGGAACAAGAGCTATTTAGAAAAAGGAAAAACCTAGTGTTGTATATATAATATGGGTGTGCGGGCTTGAAATGGGCCAAAGTGTAAAGGGGGTAGCAAGATTCCCCCATCTAGGTGTTTAAACAGAAATAGAAACCAGCAATCCTACCACATGCAAAACATTACAGGTTTGTTTCACAGTCATCGGGAGGACGGGAGTACTTCCCCGGGGGTTGCTGTCTACCAACCCACTACCTTATTATATTATAATATAAAAAAATATATTTTAATATTATAACTATAAATTTTTAATTTAATATATATAATATAAAATATAATTTTATTATTTTTATAATTATAATATTTTTTATAAATTAAAATAATATATATATTTTAAATTATATATATATATATATATTATATATATATATATATAATATTATATATTATATATATTATAATATTATATAAATATAATAAATATTAAAAATATATATATTTTTTAAAAAATAATATAATTATATATAATTTAAAAAATATATATTAAATATAATATAATTAAATATATTTTTAAATATAATATATATAAATAAATAATTTAAATATAATATAATAATAAAAATAATTTTTTATAAAATATAATTAAATAAAAAAAAAAAAACAAAAAAAAAAAAAAAAAAAATTAAAAAAATAAAAAAAAAAAAAAAAAAAAAAAAAAAAAAAAAAAAAAAAAAAAAAAAAAAAAAAATTAAAAAAAAAAAAAAAAAAAAAAAAAAAAAAAAAAAAAAAAAAAAAAAAAAAAAAAAAAAAAATAAAAAAAAAAAAAAAAATAAAAAAACCCCAAAAAAAAAAAAAAAAAATTAATAATTAAAAAAAATAAAAAAATAAAAAAAGAAAAATTCTAGACCCCGGAAATTTAGCCCCAAAAATTAAACCCTTTAAAACTCCTAAAAAAACTAGGACCCCCAAATCCAAATTATTTTGGACGAAAATAGGGGGAAAAAATTTCGGAAAAAGAATTTTAACCCAGGATTTTTGAAATTTTCCCAAACCCCAAAAAATCCGAACACTAACAATGGTCTAAGCCTAAAAAACCCTCGTTAACCCCCGTCCCGCAAAATTAAAACCTCTCGGATCGCCAAAAATAGGTAAAAGGGTTTTGGCCAAAATTACGATTTAAAACCCCGGGTTTTTTTAGAAAATTTTTAAGCCTATATTAAATACTAAGCCATTTTTTTCTTACAACTCATTACTAGTTGCTAGGGGCGATAAAACCAGGGGGTTACAATCCATTGCCCTTGCTCCATCGTCAAAAATGAAAAACCCCTCTGGATCGCCAAAATCAGGGAAAAGGTTTCGGCCCAAAATTACGATTAAATCCCCCAGTTTATTTTTTTGAAATTTTACTAAGCCTATCATTAATATCTATAGCCTTTTTTTTTCTTACATATCATTTACTATTTGCTAGAAGCGGCGTAATACCCATGGCTTTTAGATCCTTTCCCCTTGCCCATCGTAAATAAGGGAAAATCAAAGTGTTGACCACCCGGTGAAAACCGGGCGGGGACGTTTGATTTCCCTGGGTTTTGGATAACACACAACATGAGTGAAGTTCATGATACAAAATCTTGTGTTTTATTATTAAAGCAAAAATAAATTTAAAATTATACATTCTTTATTATCTATCTTCTCTCTCTCTTTTCCTTTCAAAATTCCTTACTGCTAAGGCTCTCTCGATTGATTAATTTGTTTGAAAATTTGATTCCAGCAGTAAAAGACTGCCTCATCTCACGGAATCCAAGTGGTAACGGGGCACTAACACTTGCGGGGAGAGAAAATCCTCGGGTGGTGACACTGGGGGCCTGAAACACCTGTAAACACAAAACCCCTATTAATCGCGGAAAAAAATTTTAGTTAGGTTAACTTTGAAAATGGAAATAAAGCTCGGAACTTTAAAATTTTATCAAAAATTTCGCCAAAAACATTTAAAAATTGGTGTGTGTATATATAAATATATATATATAAAATTTTATATAATATATATAAAATTTAATATAATTTTATATATATATTTATATAAATATATATTGCAATAGATCACATTTTTTATAAAACAGGTAATTTCAGTATCACTAAGAGTTTTATTCATTTTTTTTGGAAATTTTTTTTATAATTTACTTTTGCATTTTTTTTTTGTTCTTTAGTAAGCGCAAATTTTATTTTTATTAGGTTTAAAAGACTTAAAGAATCTTAGGGTAATAAGAATTCAAATTTAAAAATTTTCAGAAAACCTACAAATAACGTTCCCAGTCCACTATTTTCCTCGCATCAAGATAGAGTCAAAAATGTCTGTTTTTATCAAAGTTTTTTTAGAGCTTTACGAATTTTAGTCCTGAGTTTATAGAGGGAAAAATCCAAAATTTAGAAATAGGTAAAGATTTTAAAAAACCCCAAAAAATGTATTGATAAATCTTTTAAAGTTCTAGAAAAACTTTTTACAAACCAAAAAGGGACAACCGCCTTATTCAAATAAAAAAATGTTGGTTTTCCCTTTCCATGAAAAATTTGGTTGATATCCCTTTTCTTCTTAAAACTTTTAATATTAAAGTTTTATTCAAAAAAATTGATACGTAAAAAAACTTTTTTATAAAAAAAATTTCCCCCCAAAAGCTGATGGTGTGTCTATAAATTCCCTTTTAAAAAATTTTCGTAAAGTTTATTACGGTCAAACTGGTAAAAATCTCGAATAAGATTAAAACAACATAAAAAATAAGCACTGAACTGGACAAATTCCAATGCTTATTTATTCAGTAAGAGATTTTAACCACCCAAATTGATTTCAAAAAATTGAGAAAATATTTTCAACAAGTCCCTGGTCGACAGGAAAATAATTGAACTTGTTTCATAAAAAAGCAGTTTTTACAATAATATGAATATTTCCCTTTGGGTTTTTAAAATTGATCCATTTTTTAAATTTAAAAGAATTGGGAAGAAATTTTAAAAATACACGGACAAAAAATTTTTAAATTTTCTGTGTAGAAAAGTTTGTGGGGGGAGTTGTGCAAAAGGCCTACCAAATTGGGTCGGCGCGCGTCGGTTGTTTAACCCTTTTTGGGGGCTGATAGTGAGGTGCTGGCCGACCCCCCTTTTATAGCTTCCTGGGGCTTTTCTTTATATTCCTTGATAATGTGGATCACGAAAACGCTTGGAATTTCTCTATCTTTCAATGGTTGTTTTGCATATTTTATATATATATTATATATATTATATTTTATATTATATATATATATATAATACATAAAATATATCGTGCCTTAAGCCGAACCGGCGATTTTTCCTAATGTCTTTAGTGTTTTCGGGAATGATATTCCCTGGCTACTTTAAATGATGTACTTGATTTTCCCTGAAGAGCTTCTGTAAATAGAAATTTAAAGGGCCCTCCCTTCCCGGGTTTAAACTGATTATTGCCATTTAATGCTCATGATATCCCCGATCCCGATTTTAGACACCCTAAAAAACAATAATAATTAAAGAAAATATATGTGCAACACTTGGGGTTTTTTATTGGAGATGTTTCGGGAGCTAAGGCAGAGAAAAATTCGAGACGGTGAAAAGTGTTTTGAGGTGTTTGTCCCTCAGTCTTTAAAAAATTTTCACTATTCCGAGTCACAAAAGGGGTTTTCGTATTGATGATAAGCCACTAGCTGGGGAAACATCTCAAAATTTTTGTGCCCCAAAAGTAAAACATCTCCATTCAATGCTTATGTTTTCTTTTCATAAAATAAAATATTACCCAAAAAAGCAACATCTTTGGAGCAAGAATTTTTTTTCCCAATTTAGAATTTCCCCACCATTTTCACGACCTGTTTTACTAGGGATTCACCCACCTGTGAGACGTCTCTAACTACTTCACCTCTCCTCTATCCCTTATACAACTCTCGGTCCTCGGATATTTACTTTAGATTTATCGACTGACAAACTGAATATCTTTCAAGGGTGATCACCTCAAACTAATACTTCATGTCTTATATCGTCTTCAAGACCGAGGGACTGATTACCGTAAACCGCTTCTTTATATCTTCCAGCGTCTCAAGTATTAGTCTGGGTATTGGAATAATAAAAGCTACTGGTTGGAGCAACGTCTCCACATTAAACATGCCTAAGTGTTAAACGTTTCATTTATCTACTCTTCGGTTTTGTATACCGTTAACATATAACAATAATAATTCCGTGACTGCTGTCTCTTAAGCAGAATGAATGTAATGGTATGGTAAGGACTCAAATGCATATGTCGTGCCGAATAAGTAAAATTGGTCAATTAGCAAGAACTCATTTAAAATTAAGTCCTTTCTAAAAAAATTCTCTTATACGTTTAAAGATCTATTTTTTTTTCATTCATGTTAATGTAAAAATTAATAATTTTGTACCAAAAGAACCTTAAAAAACTTACCTAATTATAACAAGCCCAATTAAATTTAGCCTAATCCACCTAAATATATTTTAGATAAGTTAACAATGATTTAATAATAAACACAATGAAATATATTTTTTTTCGTTAGGTTCAGAATGACTTTTGCGAAATTATTGCATACACAAATTTTCACTTGCCTTATTCGGCAAGAAGAGCATTGTTAATTAAGCCAAAATCACAAGTCTTACCTATTCGGCACGACACATGCTGAAACCTTTTTTTTTTTTTTACAAGGTTTCAACCACTCAGTGGTCTTTATCAAGTCATGACCATATGGTTGACTCGAGTGGATGAAACGTCGCCAATAACTGCATTGTATCTCCTGACTCCCTACCAGAGCCGAGGGCAAATTGTTCAGCATTTGTTTTAATGACTGCTATGTCCTCGTGAGTCAAAAAATCAGCTATGTACGTACTAAATATGTTTAGCACTTTCTAGGACTAAAAATTAATAAACACAGAGTGTACATCAGACATGCTTAGCTAAAGGCGAAACAAGAAAGTATTGACTCACGTGCTCGTGCAAGCAGCAGATCCCGGGGCAACTTGCTGCTGTTTGCAATGGCTGTCTACCGAGGAAAGACAGGCACCTAGCAACATCTGTTGTTGGGGCAATGGATGAATTCCCTGCTATGTTTGTTAACTGCTCATTACTCTGTAATTTGTCTATGATTGTAATCATGTGATAACGTGTTTATCATTCATTACCTTTGAAACTTGTCATGATTTTGACCAGCTCTACCTGGAGCTCATTACCTTTGTAAATTCTCATGATTAATGTGTTTATGATTCATTACCTTTGCAATTATTCATGAGTGTGACCAGCTCTACCTGGAGCTCATTACCTTTGTAACTTGGTCATGATTATGACCAGATCTAGTTCATTACCATTGTAACTTGCTCAGCTATCAAAACTTTGGAGTCCAGTCCCTGGACCAATTATGTACCTCTGTAATCTTTTGACTACCGCCCACAGGATGGGTATGGAGTGCATAATAAACATATTAAACTAACTTGACTCACGAAATCGTAATGACACGATTGCAAACAAACCATACCACGGGCGGGAATAGAACCCGCGATCAGAGAGTCTCAAAACTTTTTTAAGAAAGTATTTATACGTTTTAACGCTGAAAGGTTGTTTATAAACTACGAGGTACTTACCAACGGCAGCAGCAGACACAGGGCAGCAGACCCCAGTAACGCCACCACCCAGGTCACAGGTTTTCTGGATCTGAATAAGAGGATAAGAATAAAGACTGAATTAAACCTACTAGCCCATGCTATGGAGGTCCTACGTAAATACTGGCAAAATCATCGATTAAACTTTAGATAATAGGATACAAGAATAACAAGCAAGACATTACGGCTACATTTCGTTCTCTAGGATCTCGTCAAGCCATAATAAATGTCTCATAAATGCAGTTTATCTTGAGTCCTAGTAGATCAGTCAGCATAGAGATGGTCTAAGTTGTAAGGGAAGGATTTACCGAAGTTAAGGCTTAGTGAAGCTGCAGAATTAATACCATATTTGGTTCATTTGATTAGTATCTTTTAAAACTAATTAAGCAAATCTCTGTTAGTCAAATGAGGGATTTTCGGCTTGGACTTTCTCTTGGACTGTGTCCTTGTCTACTTAATGGATCGTCTTCATCGGCAATTGACAACAAATGTCATTAGTCAACTTCATACTGCCATCTGTATTGTCTCATAAGAGTACCTGGTTAAAGTGTAGAGCGAAGTCCATAGAGTACACAGTCATAACTACCACCTCCCTAATCACCACCTGGGTTTGCAGCCATGCCTGCATCATTTATCAAAGAAGAATGTGTTATTAGTCCACTACATACTGCCAGTAATATATCACGAATGTACCTCGTTAAGATGTGGAGCGCATTCTACAAGATACACGCAGGTACAACCACCAGCTTGTGGCCTGCCTTGTGGCCTGCCTTGTGGCCTGCCTTGTGGCCTGCCTTGTGGCCTGCCTTGTGGCCTGCCTTGTGGCCTGCCTTGTGGCTTGCCTTGTGGCCTGCCTTGTGGCCTGCCTTGTGACCTGCCTTGTGGCCTGCCTTGTGGCCTGCGTCCTGGTAAAGAAAAACATGAATTAAGTGTTTTGTCAGTGTACCTAACATAGGCTATGTACATCATTCTCACGATTCTCACATTAGCACCATAGCTGGCTACAATCCCAACTATGGTGCAAATGTGAGAATCGTGAGAATGATGTACATAGCCTATGTTAGGTCCTTAATTGATTATGCTGCTCCCATGTTGATAATAGCTAGAGAAAGTTCTCTCCGACCCTTGGAGTTAATGCAAAATGAAGCTCTCAGGATTATTCTTGGCTGTCCCAGATCTACAAAAGTTCTTAACATGAGGAAGGAGCTTGGTATTTCTAGTATCAGTGATAGGATTGTTGAAATTAACACTGTACTCGGTATTAGAATGTTGAGAAACGAACCAGACACTGTCACAGTGAATCTTACCAAGTGTCTAGAGGTAAATACACACAGACCTAAATGGATTGTGAAAACGTGCAATTGCATTAAGTTTTATAACCTACATGAACTGTATCACTGTAGGCAACAAGAGCATTTCACCCCTCCATGGAAGATGTGTTCATTTAATATCACATACCTGCAAGTCCCTCCCAAGAAGCTCATTGCTAGTAATCTCTTCCTTAAATCTCTTGTTAGAGCAACTGCTCAAGAAGAAATTTCTCACCTAGCTGGTAGTAATAAGTTATCACAAGTTATATACACTGATGGATCTAAACAGGAGTCTTCTGGCAGGGCTGCATCTGCTCTTGTTGCCACCTCCCTAGTTAAGAACGATAATAAATTTGTTGAGTTAGGCATAAGAATTAACAACTGGGCGTCTACACTGCAAACTGAATTTTTTTGCAATCCTAATGGCGCTAAAGCTAACCTATGACACTGAGCTTGACTCTATCATCATTACTGATTCTGTCATCATTGAAGGCTCTTGACTCATAATAATGACTCCAACAACATGCTCATTGGGGAAGCCAGGTATAGATACTCAAAAATTAGGGAAAAAGGGAATTAATGTACAATTGCTATGGATCCCATCACACATTGGATTACTCCTTCATGATAAAGTTGATATGTTAGCCAAAAAGAGTACCCAGAAGGAGAATGTAGAATTTTAACTTTGGTATAACTGTGTCTAGCATTAGGAATAATATTAGGAGAGAAGTAAATAATGAAAATGATTGTTATAGGAATGCAGTTAGAAGCCTGAGTAGATCTATAACCCACTATGATAACATGAACGTAGATAAGTTTTGTTTATGGAGCAACTTGCAATGTGAACAGACTGACTGATGTTGTAGTGGCCAGCTTAGGCTTGGTTACAAGTACTTCTGGCAGTTTGGGAGACACACGGATGATGATCAAACTAAATGTAAATTATGTGATCAGGCATATGGTCACTCTCTTGAACACTATGTGCTTAATTGTCCACTTATTGAGGAATACAGAGACAGACAGTATAATAACCTATGTGACATGTCAAGATATCTTATTAATGAAAATAAGATACCAGATATACTAAGCAAATTTCCTAAATTTGCTTGTAACAGATAAGTGAACTATAGATATGTAGATATAAATCCATATGTATTCCTGTTAACCCTTTGGGGCCTAGTTCCTAGGCCTTTTGTGTATCCATATGCTCTCGCGCTACCGTCCACAGGATGGATATGGGGTGCACAATAAACTAGCCACTTCGATGGCAAAATTTAAAAAAAATCAGTGTTACATGCATATCTTATATGCATCTTATGAACGCAGAATACACCCTGGCAGTAATGGAAGTGACTGCGAAGTTTTAATGAAGTGCTTACTGTAACAAATAGTATATACAGACTGAAAAAAAAGTCTTGCTTTAACAGCTACGCAAACAATTTCCCATTGGAATCCACCGTGAATGGCCATCTTGGAGTCATCTGAAAACGTGTTATAACACACTCAGACAACAATGGATGGCAAAACAGAACTTCATCTAAACTCTGTTCTTACTACAGAAACATAGGTTGAATCGTCTTGTTTACAAAGAAAAGGTTCTTACAAGCTTTAAAAGAAATATGTTCGAAATGGTCTTAAATTACAAAACTGGGTGGAACACTTATTTAAATTAGCTTTTTTCTTAAATAACTCTCCCCAAAAAGCCTCAAGGAAGGTGAACACGGTGTTATTTGAAGCCTTTTCCAAACCTCTTCAGATCTCAGATCAGTTATGAAACCAGATACAGATATATAATTTAGGTCCATCTGTATGGATTACTATTACCAAGCTTTGTAGCCAATATAGAGAGTAGCCTATCCTTTTAATAACAGTCGTTAGTTTACAACTGCTAGGACGATCAAATGGGTAACCGTGATTATCTGAGTGTTTTCTAGGGCGTTCGGATAGTGTTTCAAAACATTTTATCGCCTATATCTTATATTTAATTTATTGGAGGTGTGGTATGCAATTTTTTATTACGAACGACCATCTAACCAAACCAAACCTAACTTAACCAAACCTAACTTAACCAAACCTTAATAACATAAATCGTGAAATTTGCTAAATAAGATGTGTAAAATTTTATGTGAAGAATCCACTGACGAAGATGTTACCAAGAGTGACATATTGACTGGTTATAAACAGTCGAAATTACTACTGTTTCTTAGGGTGATAAGTTGTGAAGAGAAAGTGCATTTGAGGCTGTAACAGGGTTTCTCACCAGATATGATGTATGCCACAAGTGTAAAAACTACTGTAAAAGTAATACGGTTGCTGAACGATCAGAGAAAACTATCTGCCTCAGTATACATAACAGAAATTACAGGAATTATGCTGAGTACAGCATGTCAGTCTAATGAATTTAAACATCAGTGTTGTATATTAGAAACTATGTAATGAGAAGCAGTATTAAAGAAGTCATCACATGGAAAGTAGATTTGCAAGTCATCACATGAAAACTAATTAATATATACACATCCCAAATCTAATTCAAAGTTTACACCATTAAAAACCAACTTTGAAGGTACACTGAAGTATTGTTGTTGTTATCTCAGAGATTAATATCCTAAAATACATCAGAATAAGAAATTATTGCAAGAAAAGTAGCATTTCAATTTCCACAAGTTCTTCAATAAAAAGATTTATTTTAACCTACACAGGCCCAAATCAGTCACAATGTTTCTTGACGCAAGAAGGACAAGCATTTAAGATTTAAATAAGTAAGTTTTATTTATAAGTAAGTTTTATTTATTAAGTAAGTTTTATTTATCTGGTGAGAAAATATCTACCTGGATGATGACTAACAAACTTACTCTCAACATTGACAAAAACCTACTTCATCAATTTGGAAACAGAGCTACAGATGTCCCTCTTAACAATGATAAATGGATCTCCTATCACAAAACTCACAGAGGGAAAATTCTTAGGAATCCACCTTAATAACAGACTCAAATTTCAAACACATGTACAACAAATATCCAAGAAAATTTCCAAGACCGTAGGCATACTATCGAAGATACGGTACTCTGTGCCACAGTAGCCCTCCTGGCCCTATATCACTCACTTATTTACCCTTCTCACTATGGATTTGGCATGGGGTCAACATACACAATTTACACCAATCTCAGACCATTAACTAATTACCCAACTAAAAGCTGTAATAAAGTTGGTAGAATTACCGACTATATGGTAAAGTAAAAAGGACACAAGTGCAATAAGTGACATTTCATTGTGGCAACGTTTGCTCTCCAGGAGCTTTATCAAACATTATACAAAACAATACATGTACACAGAGGGTATATAAAGGGCTCAGAGTGAGGTGCAATACTAGTGAGTTACATTTCAATGTTCAACTATGCGTGGTGGTAGTAGTAGTAGTAGTAGTAGTAGTAGTAGTAGTAGTAGTTGTAGTAGTAGTAGTAGTAGTAGTAGTGACAAATGTTATTCAATATGGTAGAGGCAATTAATTCGTCATGAGTAAAAGGATATAAAAGCTATTACTTGGGTAACATAAAAATAGGTTGGGACAAATACAGAATGGAAAGAGGCAGCGTTGTTTCAGTGTCACTCACTGTAATGGGCCTTGTGTAGTACAAACAGGAGAGATATGCGATGGCAGGTTTTTACTGTTTTCAGTGAGGATTCTTGCTAAGACTTCGGAGTGGTGAAGATGCCGTTGTTTTGTTTATTGTATTCGAAACAAGCGATCAGTGCTGATTCGAGGCATTGCGTCTTGCGAAATTCGTTTCTTTGATCACATTTGGGCGTCTCTGAATTTCATGAGATGATTGGTGGAGTTTCGGTGTTGATTTCACCGCCTGTGGTGTTTAAGATGATCGGGGCTGATGGTCCCCAGAAGGCATGAAAGATGTTGGAAGACCTCGGTCGTTTGCAAACATCTTTCCTGCCTTTCTGGGGACATCAGCCCGACACATCTTAAACACTAAGGCGATCTTCTCAACCACATCCGAAACCTCTCACCGTACAAGAAAACTAAGCAGTTTGATGTGACTTACTCTTCACAAGTACTACAAAAAAGCCATCGAGGTCTATGAGTAAAGTTGGGGATACAGATTGGTACATGGGTAGGGGCATTTGCTTGAAGGGACAGAGTGGAGGCAGAGGGTGTGTTTTCCTGGGGCTGGGATGAAGGATATTGTTAGCCGTATGGCATTGACGCATCAGGAGAGGTAATGGGGCAAATCCTATTATCTGTCTCAGTGCTGGAGGCAACGATGTTGGCAGAGTAGGAGTGAGGAACTGATTAGCAGGTATAGGTCAGCATAGAGAAATTAGGAGGACAGGGTGGAGAAACCTGTATAGGTGGCATTTTGCCAAGGAGAGGTGTTGGAAATGATGGTTGTCAGAGCAATTGCGTGTCAATTGCTTGGATGGACAAATACTTAGGAAAATGCGGTACATTCATTGACAAAAACTGGGACCTCTTTATGGCAGAAAATGACATGTTGCCAGGGGGGGTTCACTATTCTAGGTGTGGGGTGGGAGCACTTGGCTAACGCAGGGAGGGAGCTGTTAGGTCTTTAAACTAGGAATAG